TAAGATCTCATGGGGTGGAGGCTGTCAAATAAGGCAACCCTAAGAGTTAGTGCCCTTAAAGAGGGAACCAGTCCCGAAATTAGGGTTTTGGCCCAAAATAGTTGCCACGTAGTGGCAAACATACCGTCACGTCGTGGCATTGCACCAAAAATGCATTCTTCTCAGCCAATGCCATGTCGTGGACCCCCCGATGTCACGTCCTAGCTATAAAAAACTCCAAAATATTAAATGATTAACTTATGAAAAGAATATTACATGCAAACTGGATGTTACAACAATATTGGCCAATACCATTAATGATTACTCTCCAATCGATCAATCGGTTTCTTTTTCATATTGAACTCGTTTTATTTATAAATTAAATTTCTTTTAATATGTTTTCTGTAGTCTTTTTTTTTTTTTTTTTTTTTTTTTTTTTTTTTTTTGCAACAATCGATTTCTATAATCGTTTTCTGCAACAATCACTTTTTGTAATCATTTTCTGCAATAATCGTATTCAAAAAATCTTTTTTTCTATAATCGTTCCAATAACCCATTTCATTTACTTGTGTTTTGAAAAATCGATGCATTGTTGTGGTTTACTGCACCAGAGTTATTGGCTTGTTTTATAAAATAAGAACAATGCCTAAACATCCTTCCAAAAGAGAGTATTTGAAGTTTTATATAAGGGATATTTGAAGCAGGTTATGTTGGGGATATAAATTTCATGTTTGTAGGTTATCCTTACTGATATAAATTTCATGTGTGAAAAAAAATTGGAATTTTCGGTTGCTATTTATCCTTGCTACTATATATATATAATTGTTTCATACGATTTCTTAGTTACCTTTAGGGGTGAGCATAATAACCGAAAAACCGAACCATAACCAAATTAACCGATATTACAGAACCATAATAACTGAACCGTTTTAAAAACCATTGGTTCGGTTTCTAATTTTTGTTAACCGATAACAAACGATTCGGTTATGGTTTTATAGGTTAATCGAACCATTATTAACCGAACCGTTAACTTTATATTTTAATACATAAAAATTATGGATTATATATAAAATAATATAGTCAAACTTATGTAAGACCCATTAAAATTTGAAAATATAACTCATTTATCCTCACTTATTAGGAGACGAAAGTGTAATCAAACCATCAAAGGATGATCACGCAGATCATGCAGACACACACAATTTTCAAATCATGCATTGAGTTAGATTATTGATTAATGTTATAATTCTTAATCGGCTAATTTTATAGTTTGTAAACATTATTCACAATTAGTTTAATCTCAACACTCATAATCCTAATCGAAGGCTTCTCACACCGTTAATCCTAATCAAAGATTGTTTTGACTTTATAATTCTATTCGAAGGATTTTTATAATTGATAATTAAAACTTCTAGGCAAGTTAAGTTTTTTGTTCTTCTTCACTTTGTGATATATTAAGAATGTATTTTTTGTTTTTTAATTTTTCTTTTTTTATTTATTGTTTTTGACTTTAATCACATTGAATGTATATGAATGATTGTTTTTTTTATATCTATATAACTAGTTTATAACCCGTGATAACCACGGTTATAAAATTAATTAAATTTTCGTATTAAAAAATCAAAAATATTAATCAATTATTTTAAATAAATTATTAATTAAAAGATATTCTTTTTTAGTTATATAAAATTATAATCGTTGATTTAAATAAATACATGGAGTTATATTATTTTATCATTTATATTAATTTTATTTTATTTTTTAATCTAATGTTATTAATTTAATATAATTAAAAGGATAAATTCTAAAATTTGAAATTTAAAATGAAGAATCAATTATTAATTTAATAAAATTAGAGTGGGAAATTTAAAATTTGAAATTTGAAATGAATAATTAATAGGTTGACAAGTGGCATGATAAATGATATATACAACATTAATGAGGGGTTCTAATTGTATGATACTTGTCAATATGAGATTAAAGTTATTCTTTTATTAGAATAGGGAGATATGTAATATAAATGTTTAGTTATTTTATTTTATAGTTTTTTATTTTATCGCATTGAACGTGCATCAATGTTTGACTTTATTTTAATGTTAAAATATATGAAGTTATTAATATCAATTTTTTAATGTTCTATACTTTTTATTAAATGTTTTTTTATTTTGAATGTGATTATGTGTTATTTCACTTTGAGTATCAAAGATACACATTTTATTATATTACTATAAGTTAGGTTACAAACATTGGTGCCGAGGACCTTTTGTATTTTCTTTTCATTTTTTATGCCACTATACTTTTGTCATTTATATTATTTTGAACATTATGGTTAACCAATATTAACCATTAACCAAAACCGTTAACCAACAAAAATCATTAACCATAACCAATATTAACCATACATAATGGTTACCAAAATACATTAACTAATCATAATGGTTATAGCTCGATTTTGATCGATAACTGAACGAAACAGTCTCATACACATCCCTAGTTACCTTATGTACATTTTCTGTTTTCTTAGTTACCTGGTTTTAACATATATGAATTTCATTGCAATAATTGATCCTTAGTGCTATATTTTAACGTTTCTATAGTTACATTCTTTAACTGTTTAAATCCATTCTCTTTTTAGTTTGATCTTTTTTTTACAATTGTTTTCTGTTTAAAATCAACACAATTACTCAATTGCTTTCTATTTTTTATTTTGCTTGATTATTATCAGTTTCGTATGTTTTCTTATTTACATGGTACGCATTGTCTTTTTTCTTAGTTACCTAGTATTAACTTAATATGTTTTCTTAGTTACCTGGTATGCATTGTTTGTTTTCTTAGTTACCTGTATTAATTTAATGCATTTTGTTTGATGTGCTCTTGTAGTGAGACTCACGATCAAATTCAACAACTTGTGCAACCAAGTTCAGAAGCTACCGGAACAACTAATGTTGCATCTGTGGTTGATGGTGATCAGGATCGGCCCTAGAAGGTGGGCAAGCTGAGCGACCGCCCCAAGCCTCGCCAAATCTCGGGGTCCCAAATAAGGATTAATATTATATATATAGTTTTAAAATGATAAATACTATACGCATCCCAAAAATATATAACCAAAGGTGCTTGTAGTTTATTTGTTTTGAAGCGTAGGAATGGTTGTGGTTGTTGATCCGTGTTCGAATCTCACTGCTCTTATATTTTACTAAATGTTGAGGCCACTCTAAACAACGTGGAGCCACTGGGGAAGAAATCACCCACATCAAAAATTGTTATTGTTGAAATTCTCTGTATATAAACATATTCTTTTTTTTTTCTCAAAAGTGCACTCTACAAATATATCCTTTCAAAACTTTCATTTCCACAACAAAATTTCCTATTATGTTATACAAATTCAAATGGAAAGATAAAAAATAATGAAGGGAATATTATTAGTTCATGTTGATAGCTTCCGAAAGGAGATTAAATTCTAATTCAATAACAAAACATTATTTTTTTGTGAACCTTTGCTCGTGGTTGATTTAATCAATTAGATTATGCTAGGTTTATGTTTTCTTCTATAAGGTGATTTTTACGAGATTTTTTTATTTTATTTTGTTTTATCGTATTAACTTTATCTTTTATACGACTAGTATTTAATACAACACACGATACAACGGAGAACTCATTTGCAAAGTGGACTACAATTTATAAAAATAAAGTTTCTGTCCAAACAATTATGTATGAAGGAGTAAATAATAATTAAGAAATTATATTAATAAAAACGAAAACTATAAAAACAAAGTTTGTAAGGGATCAAAGACAATTTTAAAATATTGTATTAAATTTTTAAATTTAACAAAAATTTCCGAAGTACGGCAGTGAAGTGCCTCAAATTTTATTTTGCTCCGAGCCTCAAATTGTCTTGGACCGGCACTGATGGTGATGAATACCCAACAGGGTCGGTCCAGACGGTGGGCGACCGTCCATGGCCCACGACTCTAAGGGTCCAAAATTTATGGGCTATGTAGTTTATATATGTAAAAAAATTATTACTTAAATCATTTTTAGGGTTTAAAGTTGGTTGAAACTCAAATTAATTCAAAAGGTAAATAATTTATTTTGTTTGTTATTTCTAATTTAACACGTCTATATTGAAGAGAAATTAATATTTTTTTGAATCTTTATTATATTTGTCTTTAAAGAACCTTCTTTTTTCTTTTTACCCCGGGCCTTATATATGTTTAGACCGGTCCTAATATCAAAAACTTTTTTTGTGATTAGAGTGAAGTTCTTATTTTAGTTTTTGTATTTTGTTGTCTTTAAGAATGAAATGTGAATCATTGAACTTTTTATTTATTGTGATTATTGTTTATGTTTTTTGAATTTCATATTTATAAAAATGAATTTCATTTACTAAACAGGTATCCTACGGGTTCCCCGAATCCAATAAGGATCTTTTTACTCGACTCCGTCGGGGATTAAACGGGGCGGAGGCGGGGATGGATGTGGTAATCAGAGGGCGGGGACGGGGATCACAATCTCCACCAATATCCGCCCTCATTTGCATCCCTACTCTTAAGGTACCAACTATTTCAGAAAAATCGGGTTTGGAGCAGGATTCGCAAAGATCCGAAACTTCAGGGACCCATATTGTAAAATTGGTTTAAAACTCCCCCATGCGACGATGAGGGAGAGAAAGACGGAATTGGGAAAAAGAGAGCTAGGAAGAAAGGTGTGTCTTGGTATCGACCAAGCACGTAGCTTTTTGCAGAGTTGTCTTTATCGCTGTTTAAAAATAATTAACTTTTGATTTTTTTTTTTATTTTGAAAAACGTCAACCCTTTGAACGTGGCTTACAGTATCAACACAAACTCAGCCCACTCGTGCAATTCTTTTATTCGTGATTTTCACACCAAAAAAGCGCGTCTGGCATTGACAAATGAGGACTACAGTCTGTAGTTTAGGGTAAACAATTCAAAGAGGTCAACATCATATCAGAAAATCTTCTTCGATTCTTTATTCCATTAAGAATAAAAAAAGAAAGCGCAAAAATGTCTGCTTGTTTTTGGGTATTCACAACCCTCTACTTATACACATCAAACGCTTCTCCGATCACCGGTATTTCCAGTTCAAAAACCATCGAGAGCCTCGCTACAAATCAACAACTCTATGATGGAGAAACCTTAGTTTCTCCAGATCAGCGATTTGAATTAGGTTTTTTCTGCCCTTCAAATCCATGCAAAGATGTAAAATTCTTGGGAATTTGGTACAAAAACATAGCACCGACTACTGTTGTTTGGGTAGCCAATCGGAAAAGGCCAATTCGAAGAACATCTTCAGGTGTACATTTGATGCTAGACGATTATGGGGTTTTTGTTATTCAAGATGGTAGTAAGCGAGTCATCTGGAGGAGCCCTCCCAAGAATTACTCTCCATCTGTGGGTCGAAAACCAGTTTTGCAGCTTCTGCAATCTGGAAATCTTGTGGTTAGAGATTGTGATATTAATCTATCATGCGGTGGATACATCTGGGAAAGCTTTAATCATCCAAGTGATACATTATTACCAGGAATGGAGCTCAGTCTGGATTATGGATCTAGGCTTCGATATCGCGCAATCACTTCATGGAGAAAGAAAGACGATCCATCTGATGGCGATTTTAAGTTTGGGTTCGACAGATCTGTTCAAGCTCCCCAATTGGTGCTCACGAAAGAGAATGGCGTTCGACTCTCAAGATGGGGTCCATGGGATGGCCAAAAGTTCAGTGGTATGAACTCGTTAATGGATAATCCAATTTTGTCACCCACATTGAGGTTTGATGACGACCAAGTTTCTTTGAAATTCGAGGCATTAAACCAATCGATCTTATTGAGGTTGGTGTTAAGTCCACTAGGGAGTCTGCAGTTCTTGTGGTGGAAGAGTAAAAACGAAGGTTGGATAACAATTCTGACTCTAAATAAAGATAACTGTGATCGAATTGGATCATGTGGACCTTATGGTATATGTTATAGTGATGATCCAAGTTGTAGATGCTTGGAAGAAGGATTCATGGCAATTTCGTCAGTGGATTGGTGTGGATTTGAGTGCTCAAGTGGATGCAAGAGAAAAAATGATCTGAATTGCACTGCAGGAGATGGGTTTCTGAAGTATGAACAAATGAAGCTGCCTGATAATTCATCTGTTTGGGGTGCTTTAAGCATCAATGAATGTGAAAATAAGTGTGCAAAGGAATGCAGTTGTATGGGATACACTAGCTTGAACATGTATGGAAATGGGAGTATTATTTGTGTGGTTTGGCTTAATGATCTTATTGATCTGCGAACAGTTCATGGAGGTGGAAATGATATTTACATACGCATGTCACACATCGAGCTAGGTATCCATCTGTTAACTAATTTGTTTTGATTTTCGTTTCCTTTTATTTATGTAATTATAGTTACTTTAACTCTTGAGGATCCCTATAAGGTTTAGACTATTGAAAATACTCTGAAA